CAAGAAACAAGTTAGTTTTGTAAGAGTTTGAACTTAATTGGAGCTACAGTTCAACAGAGATTGCTGAGTTCAAATTGTATATATGTATTTCATTTATTTATAGATATTGATGGAGCCTTCTAAGAGCTCTTAATAATTAATTTTTATTTAAATTTTGCTTGGACAGAAAGGAAAGGAAGTCTTACACCTATATGGAAATACTTCATTTTCAGACTATCAATTTATATCACTAATCACATTAAGTTTTGTGTGAACGTGACAACACATACAATGTTTATGATATTACACTTTGAATCTAAACCATTTATGTACAACTTTTTAAGCAATATGGTGCATATTAGTACACGAGTCAAGATCAATAACTACACGCCCTTTGTATTTCTCAAGTTATATTATAAGAAAATACATTCGTGGCACATAATGAGATGGCTGAAATATTTTAGGTGTCTAATAGCTAACAATCACGGTTATTCATGTCCATTGTGCTAATAAAATTAATTGTTTTTATTCACCTTGAGTGCCAAGAATATCAGTGGCAATAATGTTATTTTCTTGCAAAACAATAAATTCCCATAAAAAAAAATATTAAATTCCGTAAAGGATTCAAAACAAATATATTCTTAGAAGAAGAAAAGAAACTTGATGGCCCTAATACGATAATGCTACTTTTCTAATTATAATATAGTAATTACTCCTTTCATGATAACCACTCTTCTAAGATATACTAATTGCTGTCAGTTTTATTTGGCTGCTTATGTGTAAGAACATCTCATGTTCATATAAAATATTGGTTAACTTTGGGTACACGTTACACCTACCTATTAAAAGACAAGACTCGTGATGATAGGAACAATGAATTGAACTAATACCCCAATAAATAATGACTATCACGAGGATTAGGTAACGTGGTTACCTAATATGATTAGAAAATATGATTTATCTAATCGCTTCTTATAAGATTTTTCTTTGTTGGATTGTTAGATGTTGATTCCTCTTCTCTAGAGTAGTTTAAATTATCGTCTAGTAAATTTAGACTACGGAAAATTAGGGTTTTCTTTTTCTTTTTCGAAACTGTACTCAATTTCCTTACTTTATTTTGTTGTGGGTCAAATCCCTAAACAAATTTCAAAACTTGATTGGTCAGATTTTGTGGGAAATTCAAAGTACCTCCTATTTTTTGTGATTTATTTTTCAATAGAGTTTTGTGGAAATTCAATGCCAATTGGTCTTTGACTTGTTATAAGGTTTTGAATTTTCCAATACCTAAAATTGAATACACAATAATTTACATATTATCACCACCAAGGATTCTTAGGTATTTTGGGTTCTATTGTGGTTGTTTTATGGAGAAGGCGACTGCAGCGCAGTGGATATGAACATGGTTTGAGTCAGGGGAGAGATATATTTATATGTATAAATGGTTTCCAATCTCCTGAAACCACCTACTCAATTTTGTTTCCCAGAATGCCCTAATTTTACCTCCCATTAGAAACAAAACAAAATAAAATTGAAAAAGAATACCCACCCACTCGACAGCTGCCTCCCCATCACCTTCGTCGCTTATGTCGGTCCCTTTTCCTTTTTATTTTTTCCTTTTTTTCTAGGGCTAAAGATCATTGCATTCCAAAGGAAGCCAACCATCCAACAAAAACAAATAAAAAATAAAAAAAAGGAAACCAACCAAAACAAGGAGGGAAAAAGCCACAAGCGCAGAAACAGCATCAACAAAAGCAAATAAAACACCCCTCCCTCTATTTATCTTATCGTTTTTTTCTGGTAGTGACATATTTTTTTTTTATATTAACACTTATATAAGCTTTATAAAAATTTGATTTTTTTAATTCAACAAATGAATTCCATTGTTTTTCATAGAAGGGGACTCTAAATATTTTCGTATATTTATTACATCATAACTAGATGTCTTAATGATTTGTGATTTGTCTACTGTTTGTCAATGACGATTTATAAATGAAGACTTGAAAAATAAATGCAGATCATTAAAAATAGTGGAGAGTGATTCGAGAAGATAACCCGAAAATATTTCCTACATATAGAAGGGGACTCTAGATATAGTATATGAACTTTTGAGATAAACACCCAGTAAAACAAGTGAAAAATCATATGTATGCAACTATGAGGATTCTCCTATTGTGGGGTTACATTTTTCAGAAGAAAACGTGATTGATAATCACAGAGGAAATACCAGCTAACTGAAAGGCTAGCTAGCTCTTCCTGTGATGTTGATTGCAGAGGAATAACACATACCTGGAAATGTGTCGTTTCGGACAATCGACCTCCTGCACTACATCACCAGCAAACGGAAAGAGGAGAGAGCGATCCGTGACTGTACAGTGCTGTTGTCCTGCTGAGGTTCGTCTTCGATAGAAAAAAAAATACACGAATTCCTCTGTTAGACTGATGAAGGAAATGAAACAAATAAAAGGAAATGAAAGTACGCGTATGGACCAACCATAATATTTAAAAGTGCAATAAAATTTGTTTTGCCGCCCACGAGTAAGTTTTTTACAATTTATATAATTGCTACTTGATGTAAATAATACACATATAACCAACACTATACATATAATATACATAAACAAGTAATATCAGGTGATCATTATCATATTCCAATACCAGATAAGTCAATCATACAGAGTTCTCCAAACTGGGTCCTGCCCCCATTGCACATTAAGGCTCCGTTTGGTTCGCGGAAATGATTTTCCAAGGTCACGGCCATCATAGTGGAAATTCACTGTGAGTTTAGTATAAAAGTTATAATATAAATTAATTAGAGGGTGCACTTCTTCAACATGAAGAAAATGAAACATTGCCTGTTTCTCTCGTCAAAGGGTTATATTGTACTTTTTTTTATCTATATATATAAAGCGAAAGGCAGAGAATGGTAAAACATTCAAAATACTAGGAAATGTCATTGGTTAATGCAAACATTAAGAATTGAAATTATTAATTAAATGAGGATAATATGGTAAATTCACACTTTTTCATTTTTAAAAAAATTAAAAGAAAAAGAAAAATCAGATAATGGATCCTATTTTTATGGAACACAACTACTCATTATCTTTTTTAATTCTAAAATAAATTTAAAAATTTTAAAAGAAAAGATGCGTGTGTATATATTAATATATATTACTTTTTTTTTGTTTGGGATAATATATTTTACTTTAAATGTCATTTAAATATGCAATGTAATTTACTGTACAATTACGTATCTTTTGCCCTTACATGCCTACATAATATGTGAAACTTGTCGTTAACGTTGGCAACTACGAAGAACACTATCAGGCGCATTCGCTCATGAATTGATTCGAAGTTAACAAGAAATTACGACGAAGACTCCTGCTGATTACATGTTTAATAATATTTCTTGCGTATGCAATGTAATGTTTGCGGCCGGCCGTATTGTATTAATCTCTGGAGATTTGTCTTTGTCTGTAATGTAATTTAATGAACTTATAGCAATATTTCCTGTTGTATAATGGGCAAAGGATGAAAATATTGAAACTGATGTTTATGGAAATATCAACTTCCGGGAACTTTAGAAACCTAGAAACAAACTAGGTATGAAGCTTTAGGAAATACTATTAAGAAAACGATTGTTAGTGTTGTACAAAGCAATGGAGTACTATGATGAAGAACACACACAACCAACCAAGAAAAATCACACACACCAAATAAAGAAAATAATCACAAAGAACACAAGGAAGTTCGATGTTGTTCATACGTCCTCATGGTGATCGTCCCAAGAAATTTAACTAGAAATAAGAACATCATTGGTTTGCAAGAAAATCCCCTTTCGCTCTTATGAATCCTAGCTTTGAAAGGCTCAAACCCAATTTGATGTCTCAAGGGGCGAAGCCAGGATTTTGTAATTTGGGGGGCGCCAAAATATATAATACAAAACTGAATTATATACATTTGTTTTGGAAATTTAATATGATTTTACTGCTATATTTATATTGGAATGAAATTTTGACAAGTATTGATGAGTAGTTGTTTTGTTGGGGCGAGAAGGCTTAAATTTAGTAGATTTTCTTTACATTTGTTTTCCAAAGTTCCAACTACATTTAGCTGAAAACAAATGTATTTTCTGGTTTAATCCTTAGTTAGACAGATGTAAGGCTTAGATGCCATCTACATGTCCTAGTTTTTTGCCAAGTGAGTAGTTTTACATTTGTTTTCCAAACACAACATATGTTTTAAATGATTAAATAAATTCGCGCAAAAATGGCAAACTTGGAGTAAACTTTAATCCCTGCAATTGCACCATCATTAACATGTTTCGAAGGATGGAGAATGAGACCAACGAGATACATGACATGACAAGATAGATCCGAAGCCTATCGAAACCCATTTTAGCCATGACAGCTGCATTGTAGTTTTGCACACACTGCAAGTCTGCATCGCAGTTTTGAGTCTATGAGTATTTTTAGTTAACAATACTCCGTGTGGATGGAATGATTTAAAATGAGGGACATGAATCTAAATTTTAGTTAACAAAATTCACAGAACATTTTAATTATTTAAGAAAAGAGGGAATTCAAATTGGGAAGAGAGAAGTATGATTTAGAATCCATAACAAACAACACCAAACCTTTTTTTTTCTTTTTTTTTTCTCTGTAGCATTTTACGAAAGGGTGATATCATCAAGGGTTGTGAAAATGGCTTCATCTTTCTCTTCAATAATGCAAACTTGCTGCTGGAATTATTGATGCATCCGTCCGCCATCATGCCATTTTGATTAAGTTCCAGGCGTACTTCATGCCTCAATATTGTTTATTCAAAAATTACAAACTACCCTTTTCTGTTTATCACTTAAAAAGAGAATTCGAATTTAAAACATCTTTCGTGATTGAGAAGAGAAGTATCAAGAATTATTAATAAAATTAGTTTTTTTTCCCAGTTATCAAAAATAGTTCCTTTTTTTTTCTGTTTTTTTTTGTTGCCTTTTCCGAGAGAAGATGAGATTGTATATAGTAACATAACTTCAACATGTTCAATTCCATTAATTTGTAAAGACTCAGACACTGCATCTAGCCAGCCTGAATAAAAACAGCACCCAATAATTTGTTCATTCCTATCCTGTTACAGCAAATTCTAAATTATCAATTCTGAGTACCCAAATACAAAAAACTATCTATCTACATGCTTGCCTGCCTGCCTGCCTTGGAACTACAGTAGTCGACCAGAGCAAATTCTTCAAGGAAGACTGAAAAGCCCCACATACAACTCTCGAAAGAGTGAAGTGAAACGAATGAGCATAAATACCAGCCACCAGAAATGCTACAACATATGTTTTCAGGCCTTTGGAAGCAGAGAATTTGCTCTCCATCTTAATGGAGAAGAAAGTCTCCAGATAAGATAAATCACCCACAACAAATGGGACAGACTTCATGTTCTCGACCTCTTCTGCTTTTGAGATACAAAACGAACCCCTTGCTTCCCGAGTTCCAGAGATTTGACTTTGCCATCATCCAGAGTAACAGATAGCGTTGATGTGCCGTCGATTATGTCAGTAACCACTCCCTTGTGCCTGGATAAAACAGGGGGGGAAATAAATAAATCAGCACAAAATGAATGCACCAAAACCGGCACCTAAACCCTTAACCCATAAAGGATGCAGGAAAATGCTCTTACTAAGGTAACTTAGCACCATCGACAGCCACATATCCATGAGAAAGAAGCATCTAACAGAGATATGGACGACATTCATCTTCATGAACAAATTGTTGACATCACAACTCCAAACACCTTTTATATGTTAGCTTATATTGTAAGGAACTTTTGGTTTCTTGCAAATACAAGGCAAGATATTGTAAAAAAATCATGACTAATCATCATCCTTCCAAGTGACCACATCCTCTTTCAAGAATAGAACAGCATATACAACAGCATCATGAATTCTACTTAAAAATTTAATGAGTAAAACTTGCACACAATGGATCAAGTGACGCACTTTATCTAAACAATCAATTTTTCCATATAAGAGATGCAATATATATAAAACAACAAACCCACCATGAATTGTCAGATAGCTGCTGAACTTCAACTCGCTTTCCAATTGCATCTCTGCCCAACTTTTTCAATATCCAATTAGCATCCATGATCTCATCCATTAGATTATCTTGAACTGATTGTGTCTTATCATCATTCTCACTAAATGACGTTTTCTCCATAAACGGTGACGGTCTCTTTCTTTTTGACCGTTGGCCCTTAACATAGCTTTTTTCTTCCTCCTGATAGGAAGAACTCTGATTTTCGAGATTAGGTTTCTTAAGCTTAAACTTCAATAAAGGTTTTGTATCCTTGGCCGGCGATTGTGAAACAGGTGTCTGACCAGGATCATCATTGCTTTCAGTACGTATATTAGACCTGCTTAGTGATTGCTTGCGGGAGTATACCCTCTCGTTTCTCATAGTCGGGACTTCACCTACAGGCACAACTGCAGCCGTGCCCCCTTCAATGCTTTTTCCAGACGAACCATGTACCGGCTCTGGAGGAATGGCTTCGTATCCATCAACCTTATCTCCTCTAGCAAATTTAGGGTTAGAATCAGAAGCTCCTGACCTAACTTTTCCCAACTTTATAAAATTTCCTTCTCTTCCAGCAACCTTTGAACCTTTCAAATGGCCAGAATAATCGCTTCTGTCTACACACAGAACATGAAAATTTCAGTTGCATAACGTGAGAAAACATCAAATTTAACCAAATTACTAATCAATGGGAAGGATCAAACTTTTCCAGTATAATAATGGGTTGCACTCCTAGTACCTTTAGCATCACCGATATTAGCAGAACCATCATGTCTATCCAACATAAGACTTGCCTTCTGCTGGCTCACATCTTCACTGCCTGCCCATGAATAGGAACTGAGGTCATATAAGTGTGTATATATACAATACATATATAGACAGACACGGAGAGAGAGAGAGAGAGAGCAGAGTGTAAAAAGCTTACGAAATAGCATGAAAGCTATGAGCCTAACACTAGGTATAAAGAGAAACTATTTATCGATTTTTTTCATTAACTTGTTTGTTTCTTCTTCTTCATTCTTGGAGAATTTTCTATTTCTATTAATTCATTTAAGTTTTTTTCGCTATATCCACCATAAGCAGCTAATCCTATCATCGGTTTTTGGCCCTCAAAATATAAGTGGTGCTCTCTCTACTCTAAAAGTATTGCAGTTAATGGAAGAGAATAACGTTTGTTGGGACCTTCCAACAGCTCCACCAAAATCCCAGTGGACTTTCAAAGTACATCAGGGAAATGAGGGTTTACACCCCAAATTTCCACCATTTCATTGAGACATCGCCAAGATACTGGCAAGGTGGACAGGTATACCTTCCACCCCTTTCTCGGTGTGTGGGTATAAAAAACACAAACAACCCACTCGACCTTTTCGAACACTGAATGAGAGATAGTGAGGGTCCAACAGGGTGCAGATGTGATAACTTACTGACCAATAAATGCTAATTAAATGTGACTTAGGGAACACTCATAGCTATTCCGCTCAAACTCAAGCAACAGAGTTGCAAAAGGCAGCAATGTTGCATATTCCTCAAACATTGTACCATAAATATAAGCCTACAATCACACATCATATTAAGTTATGTATGTCTGAAAAAAGTTAGTTGTATGTAAACCTACAATTTTCTGAACTTTCTCAAAACATTTATAAGTGAAAAACTTATTCATCCACTTCAATAAACTAAATTCTTTTTTTTTTAACTCTTTCTGATGATAATGCTAAAAATAAGAATGGCAAAGTAGAACACATCACATAAATGACATACCATTCGAGGTCACCACATCTTGTTCTCTTTGACCCGTTGAAACATCAGACCTTGGAGACTTAGTTATATTTATCTTCCGTGCACCAAAATTTATAACTAACTTCTTCCCTTTCACAGGCTTTGACTTTCCAGCATGCTTTGCAGTATCCTCTCCGCTATCAAGACCATGAGACTTACCCTTGATACGAACAGCCTTGGAACTCCTATCTTCATCACTCACCATCACTTCATCAACAAACTTGTGCTTCAAAACACCTGGCTCATTGACAGAACAAATCTCTTTGGTGTGGCCCATACTTCCAGTGCCAGGTGAAAAATATATGTCTGGTTCTGCATTTTTGTAGGACTGCATCTCATCATTCTTGTCATAGCCCAAGCTAGATCCAAATGACTGTGAATCATCATGTCCACCAAAACTCTGGTTCACTTCGGTTGTACCGATTAAGAAATCCTGTTGTTCCTTTTTCTTAGCAGACACTTTATTTAAAGATTTCTTTCCGCTGTCCTTGGTCTTTTTTGGTGACTTATCAACTAATCCTTTGACAGACAATTTTAATTGACGCCCAAGTTCATTCTTTAATATTTGAGGGCCATTTTCTTCATCCTCAGAATAGGGTGAAATAGAAAATATTTCTTCTTGAGTTGGCAGCCCAGCGGCAGCCCTCAAGCTATAAATTAAATCTTTATCAGCGGCATCTTTTCTCCTCCAAAGCTCTTTCACAGCATCCTCATTATTCTTGACCTGGAAAAGAAATTCCAAAATAGGAAATAATCAAATTAGAAATCAAGACGACCACGAACTAATTAACTTAGAGCAAAAGGAAGGGAAGACACAGATTTCTAATTTATCTTTGCAAACCTGGTAGCACTCTCCACGACATGTGGCACATTTGTACTGGAGATTTCCATCTAACTGATACTGCTGATATCTCTCATCACTGAACAAATAAAGAATCCCTTTCAGAAATAAGCATGTATTATTCACCAATTTTGAAGTCGAAAGATAGGGTTGCATTATTTATAATGAATCACTATACAGGAAGGGAGGCTTACTAGGAAAGTTCTGTATGCATGCAGGGAGGTTTATTAGATTGATTGGCCTGCTGGCCAGACCATAACGGCTAATTAAACACATTTGAGACATTAAAGGAGAGACGGAATTACTCTTCTCCAAATGACAAGTTCTATTTGGGAAACGTTTTATTATATAAATGCTAACATTGGGACCCAAAGTTAAATGGTAAAAACCAGCCTCTTTGATTAAAAAAATTATTCTTTGGGACCAGTAAATGTAAAGACAGGATAATTCAGCAGAAATATTATGGGTCTATAAAAGTAATGAACCTGATTCCATCACATTGGCAATGCACCCAGCGCTGGCAAATATCACAGCAAACCATCGGTGTTGATTCTGAATCTCTATAAACCTACAAAATAAAATAAACAGAAATGTCAAGAATTCTCTCTCTCCCCACCTCCTCCCTTATTTGTGCGTGCATGTCTGACAACTATCATTTTTTGATAGGAACATGTCTGATGACTATATACTATATACATATCAGGATTAATTTGCCGAGAGAGAGAGAGAGAGATAGAGAGAGTAAACAGTATAACATATTGAATTAAACATCAAATATAATCCACCATTTGAAATTACATTGGTATATGCATTATGGTTCCCTATTAATAAAAAATGAAACTGATCACTCATATGTAATGAAAATAGTGCAAGTTAATTAAAAAAAAAATTTATCTCTGTCCTTAATAAATTAATCAATACCTTCAAGCAAACAGGACAATAATTCCCCTTTGCAAATAATCTTCCACACGCATCACAGCAAGTATATCCCAGAAACCATCTGTCAATTTAACAAGCAAATAGTGAGTCCACCAATTCAAGCTAAATTAAATTATAAGGTTGTAAAAAAATTGACTTTCTATACAATAAGAAAAGAATTGAGGAAAAGGAAATATATCCTAACAGAAGTTTACTTGCTGGCTTTGAATTTGAATGACCAATTTAGGGAAAATCTACTTAAATGGGGAAGGAAACCATTGAAGTACACAAACACACAAAAAGGGAAAAACAAATTAGATCACTTAAAAGTGCAATCAAAGCATCTTACACAACCAAAACTCATTGCAAAAGACACACTTAAATTTAAATTTAAATGGATTTCATTGAGGTATAAAAGCTATACAAAAAGAAAAACACCATAATACAAAAATGAGGTGCAAGTGTCAAACTATATACACAAGCATAAAAGGGTTTAAAGAGATGGTATCCCACAAATGGGCATGGTGCCGGCAGTCCTGATTATCGGAAGAACAATCTAAGTTAGAGAAGGGTGCCCAACCAAAAGAATTATGATACTACAAAGTTTCACAAACCACAGAAGAAAAATAGCAATCATCATCTTAACATGTCCCTAGAGACAAGATAAACTCAGAGTGTAAAACATTAAGAACTAATACCTTACACTTAAGCCATTTCCTGGGACTTTTGACCCACAGCTGTGACACTGTGTATGTTTTGGGCACACATAAGGTCCAGGAGAAACATTCTGCATCATGAATCAATAAATATAAGCATATTTGCTAGCCAATATATAAACTCAGGAATAAGCAGTGCACACCCCACCTTGTGTGAAGGATGCTGGCAGTAACAATGGTAAGCACCATCACACCTCTTGCAGAACATAAGCTTGTTTGGATCTCCTGTTCTTCGGCATACCTGAAGAAACAAGAGTTGTACATGTGTAAGATTATACTACACGGATTAAAAGCAAAACTAAGCACGCTAATGTTCACTTTACTGCTAAAAAGTGATGACTCTATTGTAGGAACACCATATCGGCATAAGATGTTGTAGAGATTAGTGTTTGTATTAAATGATAAGGGCATGAATCTAACTTTCATATTCTTAATTCTATTTCACATACAAAGTTACTTTGAACACCATAGCTCACATATGCATCACATAACAGAAGAATACCAAAAATACATGATTGGTGGTGCATTAAAGAATGGAAACATAAAAATTCTGTAGAGCAAGAAAAACAGAGCTTTGGATGAATACTGCAAGTCACACATTACCTCACAAATTCGGCACAGGGGGCACGTCCATGAACTCCAGTGAAATAGATCTACAAAGAAGTCCCGTCAATTTTATTATCTAAAATTTGTAGCCTCATAATAAATAAAAAATGAAAATTGGAACAGTAGTCTCACCTCTGTGTTGAGACCAGACTTTTATGCAATTCCTGTGGTACTTCTTGCCACAGGTTTTGCATGGAAGCATCCTTCTTGCTCTCTCACTTCCTTCGTTTTCACCACAAAAACATATCCGGCACATAACATTGACATTGGACTGAGCCTGTTCTTCTCGCACAACACCTCTTGAGGTATCCTGTTAAAAGCAAAAAGAACCCAGTATTTCCAATGTAACAAATACAGAAAGAACATATACCAGGGCACAAAGAACAGTAAGATATCAACGCCCCAAAAAAAAAAATTTGATCCTCAAAAGGATTTGACATTAAGCAAAGCTGCAAATTTCATAATGGCAGCATGTGTCCCAAGAAAAGCAAACACAAAGGCTCCCGACCTCAATTAGCAGTCAAATTCTTTTGACGGGGTTCTGCTTCTGCAGCAACATGCTATAGGGTGGGGGTCCAGCTTATGGGATCAAATCAATACACTCTAAGAAGAAATATTTGAAATCAATCTCATTGCTATCATCGATTTCATAAGTATCATACCAAATCCCATCAATCGAATTGCTTTTTTGAGTAGATACTCTAGGAAAGGCAGGTAATGGGAGCTATGGGCTGTTCAACATATCATGATGGATATTCAACTCCCGTCCTTACAAGGTACGCTGTATCCAGTCATTCATAAGCAGAAAGTCTTCTTACGACTCATTAGGGAAATTTATGCCAAAAGAAGGTAAACTCTTTTTTGAGCACTATCATAGAAAAGCTACTTAACAGTTTTTTTCTTTCCAGCTAAAAGTGCTGCAACCACTTTGGATGACCCTAAAAACATCCTCTCTATTGTAAAGCGTTTGCTTTCTCTCTCTTAATTTCTTTTACGACCAGTCCTAGTGTTCTTCAAACATTAAATGCCTTGCATAAGACCTTAAAAATCCACCTTCTGTCTTCTAACAATTTTTTTTCCAGATGTACAAAAGATATCAATGTCTTCATTCCAATTCAATTTGAACTTAAAAGATAGACCCATTGCACATTAATTAAAAGATATTCAAAGCTTCCTTATAAATGAAAATCCAAAATGAGATGCATTTCTTTAACAAATATAGACAAACATATGATATGCCCTAATGAATGGAAGCCAAATTTATGGAAACTCCCAATTATTAAATATCCGAAATCATTCCGCCACATGCCAAACTGAAAATAAACACGAAAGCAACCGGGAAAAAGTTACTTTGTTGCAGCATTAGCCAAAAACTTTTCAGCATTCAGCATTCTTTTACAATCAACACTACCGATAAGATGGATTCAGACACAAAATAAATACCAAGATTATCCTATAATTTAGCTACAAAACACTTACACTTCAAAAAAAAAATGCAAATAATCACAAGCGGTAAATTTCAAGAATTTCAAGAACCTCACCGACAAATAACCGGACTCGAATCGCCGAACGAAGTCCTCTGCCGCGACCATATCCGCGGCAGCCTTGCGCTGGAGCGCGGCCCTCTTAGCCTGCGCAGAGGCCGCGGCCGCCGACTCATCATCAACAACAACGGCAACATCACCGACGATCGATGGGAGAACCGGCTGAGGAGGAGGAGGCGGCGGCGCAACTCTCGGAACGGCGACCTGGACGGTTTTGCCTTCGTCGCGAGCCCTAATTCCGGTGGGATCGATGAGAAAGTCGTGGACTCGAAGCACGTCTTGAAGGAACGAGGTCTTGGCATTGTCGGTGGCGAGAGTGCGAGGAAACCCTAGCGGACAGTCGCAGATTCGGCGGCTTCAATGGGAAAAAGAAAAAACCAAAACAAACAGAGACAGAGAGAAAACAATGAGAAGTTTGAAGAAGAAGTAAGCGAGAAAGATAGAAACGAGAAGAGAGGAAGAAGAAGAAGAAGAAAAAGAAAGAAATAGAGGTTTTAGAGAGAGAAGAGAATAGATAGAGAGGGTACCATGTAATTGGGCAAGCGACGTGAAATGCCATATTGCGAGAGAAGATTTAGATTTGAAAAAATTTTGGGTTTAGGGATCGCCCTCCCTCCCTCCCAAAATTTTTACTTGGAAAATAAAAGCCAAATTAAAAACCAAAATTAAAAATAAAATAAAAAGTTTCAATTACAATTAGGTGTGATGGGTGGGGGTGACTGTGTGATAATTCGATGACGAAGATTGTTGTGAGGCGAGTCAGCGAGCGAGCGAGCGAGAGAAAGAGAACGGGAAGGAAAGAGGGCTTTTTCTTCTGCGGCCTTGTTTGTTTTGAGTTTATTTGTTAGGTTTGGGTTTATATGGTAATTGGGCGAGGGCCTCGTACGTGTCAAATGCCTTTGGGCTTTTCTGCGTCGCTGTTCCAAGAAGAGAACAATGAATAAGTCCCTTTTTTTTTTCTATACCAAAAAATAAATTTTCTTTTCTTTTCAATGATTTTATTTCTTTTTGGTGGAATGTTTTTATTGTGGTTTTAGTTTCCATTTTTTCAATTTTATTCATGTTTTTATTAACAATTCGAATTTGGACAAAACTAAATATTTTTCGTCAAATCTTTTGTGTTATTGTAAATATTACACTTGCATGTGTAACATTGAAGTAACTTTTGTATACGCCCGTTGCATCGGAATTTTTTTAATTAATTTAGTAGAAAATTTAACTTTAATTGCAACTGTTAGTTAGTTAATTACAAGATATAACAAGATTGAAAATACACTAGACTAAAGTAAAAAATATAAAAAGAGCAAGTGTACAATGATAATATGGCCCACTTTAGCACCTTAACCGTATGATCATTACACGTTAAAGAGGCGGTACAAAGGTAGTTTAATAATGTGGTCTCTTTAGCATGACCCTATATTCTCGCTTTCAACTTTTATCTTCTTTTTGGGGAAATCAACTTCATTCTTGTTTTGGCCGCATACAATTAAGTTTCGCAAGATGAGTTTTTTGGGAATATAATTCCTATTCCCCTAGAAAGTTTGGTAAGGTTGAAAATGGTAATCATGCTGCATTGGGATGGAGGAATTTGAAAGAATGAATTTGAAGATTTGACAAAAATGCTAAATTTGCTAGAAATAAAAAATTTTAAAAAAAAACTATAAAACATTAGATTCGGTGTATTTGAAATAACTAGGTGCAATATATTTGAAATTGGTTTAAAATAATTATATGGAATGAGTCATTTGAAATTCATTTCCTTCTCATTCAAATCTTGGTATACATATGAATAGTATAATCTTATGATTTAACCTTATAATATCATCTAAATCCTTATATTTGGAATCACTCCATCCAAATGTAGAAATCAAACTTTGTTCTATTTTCCAATAATTATTCACGAAATATTTAAAATAATTCGTACTTCCTATTTAGATATGGATTTTAATTTAAAGAAGAAGAATTTTGTCATAGAAGGTTCTAATGGCATATCTGGAATGGGTATTGGAATTATTTCGATTTCTAATTACACGTCATGAATATAAATAAATAAATTATGTAGGTTCTACAGCATAATCCAAAACCTGAAAAGCCATGAATTAGGTTGGTAGTTGATTGTTCGGTTCATTTTTACACATGATTTTTCATGTTATTCACCTATTATTTTGAGTTAGTTCTTGACATTTTATAGCTTTTTACTTCCTTTTTGTGTTTTCTTAGATTTTACCTTGGTTAGAATGAAAATGAGCTAAAAGTGCATTATTGGTTATAAATTCTGTTTTTGTTCATTTTCGTAGGTCAACTTCTTGGCCTGGGATCAACATGCTCTGGTGCTCGGATGAGGTGAAGATCTTCATGAAACTTATTCCAATGGATGTTAACTACAACATATCCAAATTTGAGCTCCATTGGACAAGTATTGCCTATCCAACCAATCCAGCATGTTACCACAGCTCTGGAAATCCGAAGTGCTCCAGCTTTTACCTCCATATTGTTATCTTGATTCTTCTTGTTACCATAACACTTGGTAACAAGAAATTACTTTGGTTGAGAGATATTATCTGAAACAAAGAGCATCTTGGTGAAGACAATAACAAAAGAGCCCATCATGGCAAGGAGACAAGGCTTAAGGCTTTAACAAAAGTAATTGTTTTATATTAAAAGATATTTTGGAAAAGCTGGAAAGGAGGAGAGAGGAGTGCAAAGAGCATCAGCCATTGCAATCAGAATCATTCCATAATTTTGCAGAGATTTTGGAGCTGGAGATGAAGCTTGGAGCTAGGGAGCTCAAGGAGGAAGACAAGGGCAACAAAGCAAGAAGTGGAAGAGATTTCCACCATTGAAGACCTTGAGCTCCCATGTTCACAAAATCTGTAACTTCTTTCTAGTTTTGTTTTGAGTTTGTATTTGAAATAAGTATGACGAACTAAACTCCATAGCTAGGGGTTAGGTTGAAGCCCTAAACACGAATACCTTATTGTTTTGATGCTTTGAGTGTATGAATTTCTAGATGTTGTTGATGAACCCCATTCACTAATTGAATCTTATGATATGTGTTTGCTTCCTTTGCTTAATCACCTTAGGTTGTATGCATGTAGCTAAAGTTGAGAAGTTGTGTAAGATAACCAAGAACATAATTTCTAATTAGCAACAAATGATTGAACTTGTTTAAGTGAGCATCATGTGAATTGGTTTCTTGACAACAATTGATGAATTCCAATTCACCAAATTAATCTATCCTTGATGTATGTTCTTCTTTGATTGATCACCTTTGAAAGCATGCTTCTTGAGATTGTTGGGATTATGTGTATCTTCATGTTATCCTAAGCAATAAATGGATGAAGTAAGAATCATCCATGTGAATTGGTTTCTTGAAACCCTATATTCTCGCTTTCAACTTTTATCTTCTTTTTGGGGAAATCAACTTCATTCTTGTTTTGGCCGCATACAATTAAGTTTCGCAAGATGAGTTTTTTGGGAATATAATTCCTATTCCCCTAGAAAGTTTGGTAAGGTTGAAAATGGTAATCATGCTGCATTGGGATGGAGGAATTTGAAAGAATGAATTTGAAGATTTGACAAAAATGCTAAATCTGCTAGAAATAAAATTAATAAAAAAAAATACTAGAAAACATTAGATTCAGTGTATTTGAAATAACTAGATGCAATATATTTGAAATTGGTTTAAAATAATTATATGGAATGAGTCATTTGAAATTCATTTCCTTCTCATTCAAATCTTGGTATACATATGAATAGTATAATCTTATGATTTAACCTTATAATATCATCTAAATACTTAGATTTGGAATCACTCCATCCAAATGTAGAAATCAAACTTTGTTCTATTTTCCAATAATTATTCACGAAATATTTAAAATAATTCGTACTTCCTATTTAGATATGGATTTTAATTTAAAGAAGAAGAATTTTGTCATAGAAGGTTCTAATGGCATATCTGGAATGTGTATTGGAATTATTTCGATTTCTGATTACACGTCATGAATATAAATAAATAAATTATGTAGGTTCTACAGCATAATCCAAAACCTGAAAAGCCATGAATAAGGTTGGTAGTTGATCTCATATCCATTTCTTCTATCTCATAAATTCTAACTTCCACAATTCATTACTTTTCCCATCATAAGTAAACATGCTATTAGAGGAATGACAAAACCCAAGGTGGCTCATTGGTTTTCATGGATAACACACATTCCATGTAAAGGTAGTACATTTCCAAGATTGTGCATCCCATAAATATGAGAATTGAATCTCACCCATTCAACTTTCATTCCAGCAAAAAAAGTCGGGAGTGTGTTCAATTGCGAACTCTAATGGATTTTAAAGGATTTTAAAAGTCCACGGGTATTTGATCAGGATTTTAAAGGAGTCATAAAAGTCTAGGTATATTCAATCATGACTTAAAATTCCACAAAAGTCTAGGCGTATTTTTTATAAAAAAAAATTGAGTTTGAAGGAAATACAAAAAAAAATTGTGGATTTTGATGGATTCTAAAGTGGAGTTCATGTCTGACCAAAAATGTATGTATGTATTATATATGCACATTCTTATTGGTTACGAGGGAAAAAACCTTACCTATATCGGAGTAATGAGACATATTTTCACGTGATGAGTGTTGTATAAACAGTTGTCCCCTCATTTTGTTCGAGGTAAGTTTGGCAACATGTGTGTTGAGAAATAGTCCCACATTGCTTGGGCTAAGTGTCTATTAAACCTATTGATTCTCTCTCTACCCAAATGTTAGTTTCAATATGTGGACTAAAGGATATTTTTCCTTGCACCTGATGAGACCTGAAATATGATATCATGCTTGCTGACTGGAAGTTTTCAACTTTATCTCACAACCTAATATTTCAAAAGCAGTATGCTTTCAAGCATATGAGCACCTTTTGGGGCCATTGAAATCACTTCTTACTTTTGATGTCTGAATAACTTAATTGTAGAAAATAAGCAACTTGTTGTAGCACTCTTCCAGACAGAAATGAGTTTCTATTCATAGTCAACCATTCTTTTGTTGATTTACAGTTTACACTACCTCTGTAATTTCTAACCTCTTTTTCCTGCCATTTCTTTTCTTTTTCAAATGGCTCCTAAATTTCTACAAACTATGATTTTCACAGACCATTTGGTTCCTTGCTACAATTGGTATCTAAAACTCTAAAGCTATCTTTTGCTATGTTTGATACATTTACATGATAGAAAAGTCATCATCAAGCCCATCTAATTGTCCTTTTAGACTGTTTTCTTGGATGATCAAAACTGAAGTTATGACTGAGAAATCAGAACCTGATAGAACATCCCCAATTGGACCCAACTCTGGACATTGCTGCCAGTCATTCATCCCAAACGTCAAAACCGAATTCACTCTTTCCCCTCTTCCCACTATAATGAGTGAGTACTGCCCATCCAATGCCCTCAAGGTAGTATAGGTTTCAGCAGAATTGGCAAGATGCTTCTCCATGTAAGCAACTTGCCCACATGACACATGTCTCTCATAGAAGCTAGCAAAGCACTCATCATCAAGCTTCATTTCCTCTTCTTTCTCAGAACGGCTGACTGTGTAATTCCCAGGTCTGGTTGCTGCCTCTGAGCTAGCGTCAACCAAGAATCTTATGACTGTGAGTTTTACACCTGAATGTCGTGCTACGCGACCAGCATAGGCAAGTGCTTCTCTATCGTCTTTACCACCAATGAAGATGACTGCCACACTGACAGAATGATCACAAGCTCTTGGTAGTTTTTCAATCAATCCAAGACCTCTGTCTACAAGAATTCCCACAGAGCACGGAGCATTCTTGAGGACCTGTTAATACCATAATTATCATTAACTGATAAATGGAAAGTATGCCATAGCAGATATGTCTGTAGAAATGTGAATGAACTTGGAAATATGAGCAGATATCTAAGACATCACCTCCTTTATATTCATCGTCAATATGTAATATGACCTTACTAATTAGCATTGTGTTTATCATATAACTATGTAAATATGAGACTTAACTTTTACATGCTTATCTCTGTGACTAATTCTTCAAGACATAAACCGAAATCCCTAATGTAAATTAGAGATTACATCAGTGATAGTATCATACATGTCTAAGTATATACTTCCAAGTGCAAAGTTTAAATCTATAATTGTTCCAAACATATGATCATGTTGCTAGAAGTATTTAACTATTTCGTTCATACATTTTGGTATGCCTGACCAACTATCAGAATGAATTTTGTTAATTCTCGATATAATACGTAGCTGATTGAAAGACAGTTTTCTGATATACATTACCTTACGGTTCACATATCTGAAACCAGAATGACCATTATCCAAGGTTCCATCTGGGCGTTGGACCTTGTGAAATGGCAATATGATGAGGGCTACCATTGAGTCCTCTGCCAAAATGCAAATATCCTGGGGCATGCCATTGAAAGTCGAGAGTGCAAGCAATCGTCTAAGTGTGATACCTTCTCCGCTCTCCCCTACATAGGTTTGAACTGCAGTAGTGACTTGATCTCTCATTTCTTTTACTCCTGTGTGAGTCACAGTCATGGTGTCCACTTCTTCTTCTTTGACCAGTGTGGCTGCGATTTCGTCTGTGAGTTCTATCATGTCGGTTACATATACCACAATACCAGGGTCAACTGTCCCTCTAGATATCTCAATGAAGTTAATGGTAGTACGCACATTTTGAGGCCCATTAAGGCATAGCAATATGCGGAGTTCACTTGAAGGATCAAGCAACTGAAGCGACATTCGATGAGTAGGTACCCGTTTCCTTGCACGCTTGATGATTTGTGCCACGACTGATGGGGCGTGCACAACAGTGAAAAAGATAGCTATCACCATCACAGTGCTGGTTGAAGTAGACGTTTTCCCAGCCTGCATGTGATCACAAGGGCAAAAAGCAAGAAGATCAGGATGGTTCAAATCGTGAAGCTGGTCCCAATAGGCATGAAAATGGTTGTTGATGTATAGTTATAAGTTATATATCTACTATAATTTTCTGTCACAAGCTTCAGTGATGTTTAAACCGTGCCATTAATAAGTAAAAAATGCATCTGAGGAAGTTAGTATCACAACACATGAAAATTGGGGAAGGAAAAAAGAAAGCACATGAGGAAAAAAAAAATAGAGGTCAGAGACTAACTGTTTTTGCAGCAATGGCTAAGTATATGTGAAAATGGCCTTTGGTAGTGAGAAGAAGCCCAAGTGCTACAGATTCCGGCCAGTTAAACCCCAACAGCTTTCCAGAGATGACTGTTCCAGTAACTTTTCCAATTGTTGCTATAGCAAAAACTACAAATAACCTTCCCCATGTCCCGAATTGGCCAGGTTGAAAATCCCTGAACACAGCTTCATACCCCATCCAAAAGAAAAAAATGGGATAGAAAATGGTAGTTAACAAGTAATTGATCTTGCCTACTACCCATTTTGAGACTCTCCCCTCCCTTGGTAAAAAGGTTCCTGCCATAAATGCACTCAAAACAGGACTATATCCATAAATTGGTGAGCAGGAAATGACCAAGGCCATGAAAGCAAGAGCAAGCACTAGGTGTGAACCTTTTATGGGTTTGCCTTGCGGGTTTTCATTGTTGACCCAGTTCATGAAGAATGGTGAAACATATGCTGCAAAAAGTGTCTGGATTACTAATGCAGAACCCATTTCAATGGATCTCCAAACGCGCTTTGAAGTCTCTACAACTTTATCTCCAGATTCGACAGGGCAAAAGACATAGCCAATGGAGAGGAGAAGAGTGGTTACAAAATCAGCATGCATTCCTGCAGCAATGACCAGCTGGCCTATGTCTGACTTTCCTATTTTGAGACTTGTTATCAGACGTGTCAGTACCGGAGAGGCTGTGCTAGAGAGGACCGTGGAGAGGGAGAGAGTGAAGTCGACCTTGAAACCTTCTGTAAAATGCATAAATGGGGTTATGGCACAGGCTAGGATGAATGTGGAGAGCATACCACAATAGGCCACCTTAGCATCCTTGGTTGGTTCTTTAAAGAGTATATACGGATCCATTTCTATGCCTAACACAAACATATAGCAGATCATGCCAAAATCAACTATGAAATTCAATGTTTTACTCGCTGAATCTGTTACTTGATTGCGTATGAACCCTATGTTTCCAATGAGCAGTCCTATCTGCATACCATACGAGATAAGAATTTAATCCCAATAGTAGGCAACGAGTAGCATCATAAAGAAAACAGCACCCATAATAGCAAAGTTCTTATCAAGAATGACCAGCAAAAATGGCACTTTTTTGTCATAAAGATGAAAGGTTTGGTAGGAACAGGCTTTAAATTTAATGCAGAATTTACACTACAAATAAGTAAAGAGCATAAGAGCCTCTCCACAGGACATACAAAATTATGAAAGTAGGCCTCATTAGAATAAGTAAGTCTTTATCTGATCAAATTTACTACTCGTCTGGATGCTGAAGAAAAAGACTCATAAGAAGGCTTATTGAAGGACTTTCTTTTGAATTCATCAGAACCACATACAAGATGTCTTCTCTCTTCTTATGGTCTCTAGACCAAATAACTTGTCCTCCTCCTAGGAAGAGCTACAACTGATGTTGTCAAGAGTCGAAATCAATAGCATAGAATGTAAAGGACCAAAGTTCTAACTGGAAAAGACCAATTAAATTTTGCTGGTTGCTTAAGGGGTTTGTTTGTTTTTTTTTCCTGTTGTCATGACTTGTTCACTACATTTACAACCAAGTAGACTGATATGACAAGAACAATCTTCATCACCCTGTTAAGGACAATCTAAATTGGAGTCCCAATGACAGATATGAAAGGTAAATATTAAAACAAAAGAATGCCCCTATAAAGGCATGACTATATGATCACACATATCATCATAGCCAGCCAGCTATACACTCCCATAATGTCATTCTGCACTCAAAAATTAATTTTTATAAAATACTCGCAAAAACGAGTGCAGAATGACAAACTCGGAGTGCGAATAACATTTCCCGCTCATATGCATTGCCAATCATTCATATCAAGCTATATGTGCCAATGGTTGGGGATGGTTTCAATTCATCAGTAATTTCATTGGCAACCTCTCAAAATGACCCAAAAAAAAATATGGAAAATTAAAAAGAGAGTTTAATACAAGTCTTGAGAGAGAGAGAGGCTTACAACGGTGTCAGAGGTAATGCGAGGCTGAGAATATGGCTTTAACAGGAAGTGCGATATATTGCACAGAGCATACATTAAGAAGAAACCAAGTGCATACTTGGCTACTTTTCCAAAAAGCTCTTTCAACTTTAGCGTGCATGGTCCAACAATTGAAATTTTCTGGAAACTATGGATTTTTTTCTTGCTGCCCATTTTTTTTTTCCTCTTGTTTTTTTCTCAATCTTTGTCCTGAGCTTTCTTCTTTTGCGTTTTTGTTTGCAAAATATTTTTCTTTTTTCGTCTGAAAGTTTGCAAATGAACATCAATGCCACCATTTCTCTCTCTACCTTGGCTTTTCGCAGGATGAGTTTGTGGTTCTGATTAAAAGGCTTTGTTTGTGGAGAAATTAAAGGAGAGCGGCTAGGAGAGAGAGCCATTTAGAATGGTAGAAATAATACAACTTTTTAAATGCATACAAATGGGAATTTTTGAATTAAAATACTACTTTCTATGTTAATAAATCCACATATAAATTTGATTAGTTAAGCAACTAATTAGTTAAGCAACTAATGGATTTTTTGGCCAAAAAAAAAAAAAACTGGATTTCAAGAATTAAATTTTGTTCATATTCCTACGGATTTAATTGTCATGTATATATATATATATGTAACAATTTCTTTCTTGCAAATCTTAATACAAGAAAGAAAGAAAGAATGTGCTAGCTAATCCAGTTGGTAAGGTGACTTATAACTCTAGTGATAATAAAATATTTGATGATCACAAATCACAACCAGAATTTAACTCTGCTCTTCTCTTCTCAAAGTTTAGACTCCATTTGA